CCCATAACTCGAAAAATATTTGTCGGAATTAGCTCAAACTTTCTACAGAGCATAAGGACATCAATATGCATCAGAAAATGTAATAAAAATTGGGGGTGATTTCGGAGTCATTTTAAAAAAATAACCATGGGCTATAGCCTTGGGTATTTTTCAAAAATTGGCCCATTTTTTAAAATGCCCATAACTTGAAAAATATTTGTCGGAATTAGCTCAAACTTTCTACACAGCATAAGGACATCAATATGCATCAGAAAATGTAATAAAAATTGGGGGTGATTTTGGAGCCATTTTTTTGGAAAAAACCATGGGCTATAGCCTTGAGTATTTTTCAAAAATTGGCCCATTTTTAAAAATCCTCATAACTCAAAAAATATTTGTCAGAATTAGCTCAAACTTTCTACATAGCATAAGTACATCAATATGTATCAAAAAATGTAATAAAAATTTGGGGTGATTTTGGAGCCATTTTTTGGAAAAAACCATGGGCTATAGCCTTGGGTATTTTTCAAAAATTGGCCCATTTTTAAAAATTCTCATAACTCAAAAAATATTTGTCAGAATCAGCTAAAATTTTCTACATAGCATAAGGACTCAATATGCATCAGAAAATGTAATGAAAATTGGAGAGTGATAACATGACACTAGTACTTAAAGAAGTATTGAACTATGTAGACTAACTTTACACTTGCAAAAAGACAGGAATTGTCTGCCGGGACAACTCTAATTACAAGAAAAAAGAATTGAAAAAAATCATCATAATCTTCTTAATTTTCAATGTTATAATTTACTTTCGTCTCAGTTCTCCTATTGCTGTAGATACTGATGATGATGAAGATGATGATGATTGTGGACCTGATGATGTGTTATCACTAATAACTTTACTCTCTCCAGTAATTAATACATCTTTATCTGCTTCTAACTGAGCAACCTAGAAGTATAAAAATAATGCACAAGCTAAATTAAATATATTTCTACAACTAATCAATAAATGTAAGTTATTATTATTACTGGTTGTCGCTGTTTTCTTGGTCGGTGTCCTCTTGGTTGCTGAAGCTCTTGCAGAGTGACAGTGTCTCCATCCTTGATGCCAATGTCAGCCATTGTTAACTTGCTGTCATATGACTCAATCTCTTTCGGAGGATAACTGTGCAATACTGCAGAATTAAAACTAACGATTATCACAAATAATGAGAGAAGTCTAACATATTATAATGCAGCTGGTAATTTTGGAGGGGAAATTTTGGCACTTTGATAAAGATAGCCATTTGCCAAAACAAAATTTACCGTTTCGATTTTTTTCTACCATTCTGAACCATGCAAATTTACTAGATTAAAACTCTCCAATCGTCAAAAATTTGCAAAAATTACCTCTCCAAATTTTATTTTATTATTATTATGCAAATTTTTCTATCAGTTTTACTTTTTTGTTGCTCAGGTGGTACATTTGTTTTATCTTTAATGGCAGCCTGCAGGTCCCTCAGTGTAGTGGAGGACTTTATATTGGACAAAATGAAACGTCCAGTCTTACACTGCAGCCTCACTACCTTAAATAAATCATCAAACATGCAAAAATTTAAAACTAAACTCACCATTTTCAAACAATGAATATTTAATTAGATCAATTAATTAAGTTTTATACTACTGTACTAGGGATCTAAACTCACATGACTCAGGATACTACTCCCGTAAAACCATTCGACATCACTCACACCAGTCTCATTTGGTTAGATCGAAGCAAATAAAGGAAGAAATAGAGAAACAAGCTGCTGATGGCTCTGTTAAGGTTCCCTTTAAGACTGAACAAGGTCAGTGGAAGCCATGGGCAGTAGCTGTAGCTCTCCTATCATGTTTTTAAATGTTCTTTGTCCGGGGCCTTGTGTACAATGATAAACTGCTGGTGTGGTGGGGGTGTGTGTGTCTGTGTGATTTTATCATCTCCTCTCCTGTCACTAGGTACTTACTAGTCCAGTCATTAGTACAAGTATCAGAAGTGTATCTTCACTCAAGGTAACAGCATAATGACCTTTGTTTGATCAAAATCATCCAAAGACACAATAATAATGTTAACACACATTAGCATTGTGTTTTATGACCCTGTTCATGTATTGGCCTCTGTTCTATGCATGATCTCTTTTAAAGGCCTTTTCACACTGGCACAAATAATGCGCATTAATCGTGTTCACACTAGAGTGGTTTCAAATTGATGCGCATCAGTCTCACTTCACCTCCAGAGGTGGATTGATGTGAAGTGATGCGGTGCTATCAATGTAAACCAATGGCAACAAGAAC